AATTCTCACAATAATTCATATTAATGCATCAGAATGAATGTTGTTATAAAATAATGTCAACAGACTGTCATTTAAAATTAAAACCTTGAAATGTAATAAATATTTAATAGTTATTATCAGGACTAATTTATAAAATTAACTGTGAAACTAGAAAATAATATTAATATTCAGTATTTTAACTTTAACTTTAAGATCCTCAGTGTGACCTTTAAAAGGTAAAAAATAAATTAATTAAACTAATTTAAAAGACAGATGTGAGGATTTATCTGTTTATATATTTATTATTATTATTATTTCACTTTTTCTCCTTGAACTCAGTCACATTGAATAACTTCGCTCCTGAGCTCCACTCACGTCGCGCCGCTCCCGGACCGGTTCTCCCGGACGGTACCGGTCAGGACAGGTCCAGCTTCTTCTGGGTCTCGGTCAGTTTGTCCTGCAGCCGTTTCTTCCTCCAGTCCAGGAACCTCCTCCGGGCCCGGTTCGCCTGCCAGCCGGCCAGGAAGCCGGCGGCGAAGGAGAGCAGCACGGCGGCCTGCAGCGTCCTCTCCGAGACCTCCGCCATGTTTGACCCGGAAGTCCCAAGCAGGCTCTGAAGGAATGTGCGCGGAGCTCTCGCGATACTTCAATAGAACGGTATTCTCGCACTTTTCATAACAAAGGTTAAAAAAGCATCAAAACTTCTTCATATTTTTCAGCTTTTACTAAGATTAAAGTAAAATGACTCCTTTACGAGTAGAAATAAACGTTCCGCTGATTTAAATGAAGTTATTTATTTATCACGTTTAAAGCTGCTGCTCCAAAATAGTTTTAATTAGAAAAATAAAAGGTTTACAAATTAATCCAACAAGTTTAAACACCACGGTGTTATTTACGATGTGGATTTACCAGAGTCACATAAATATTAAGGGTTAAAATCCTACAGAAATTTTGTAAAACACAACTTTGACTATATTAAAATAACTGAGACTAAGACCAGACAGTATTATTAATTATTTAGATTAACCTGACGAGTTTAGAGCTCAAGTTACATAAAGATAAGCATGAAAACCAAACAAACTGAAGGATTATCTGAAGAAAATTATGTTTATTTCTATTTTTAAAAAATTGTTATTTAATTTTCTCGCATAAAAATATGGAAATATTTTAAAAGCTGACACAAAATAAAAGCTGTTTTTAAAATTAAACATTTCCTCAGAAAATATCAAGTATATTTCTTTTTTTTCTTTCTTTTTGTTTTTTTAATCCAGAATTTTTCCATTAAACCAGTCGTTGGAATCCACAGCTGTAATCTGTCACTATGGGTTTTAATTTAAATGTTTTTTCTGTTTTCTACTGCATCTTATAAATCTATCAGATAAACACGGTGGAATGAAGCACAACAACGTGGAAATATTTAAGTAAAGTACATCAGAACTGCACTGAAGTACTTGAGTAAATGTACTTAGTTACATTCCACTACTAACAATAAAGACATTTAAATCCTTTACGTTTACAGATGACTTAAAATCCAGTTGGTCACAAAAACAAGTTTATTTAAAAGAAATAGGCATAAAAATAGTTTACAAATAAAACTGGCAAATGTCACATTTGTTCAAAGAGCTCATTAATAACACGCCTGTGTTCTTTCAAATCCTTAAAATGGAGATAAAAAAGTTAAATTAAAAGCTCAAAGCTGCTCGTAGTTTAATAAAAGGTTCGACTAAATTATAATTCATACAGACACACGCTGAACTTCACAAACTGTTTGTGTTTTACAGACAAATTCAGGAAAAACACACAAAATACAAAAAAAGTGAGTAAAAAGTTCTGTACAAGTTGAGAGAAGCTTCGTGTTGGACCACAGATCAGACGTTTGTGTCTGACGATGGAGCAGCAGCAGCGTTCTGATGCTGCCGTAAAGCAAACTCCAGGATCCCTGGTTCAGCTCAGAGTCCATTCTGCAGCGGCACCGGTTCCAGTTAACGCAGCTGATACGGGTCAGGCTTAGAAGTATTTACAGTCCAAAGTAGACGAAGACCAGGAAGGAGTCTGAGGAGTCCAGTACCCTGCTGCAGTGAGAGTCTCCAGGTCCGGATCTGTTCCCATCGCTGCCGGTTTTGATTCAACCTGGTCCGGTCTCACCCTCGGCTTTAAATCACAGCCGGTTCTGTTTGAGCCTGTCGATGTGGAAACAGAGTTTTAAGGCCGGTCCGAGCTTCAGGCCCAAATACTTCATCATCGTCTCGCTTTTCAGGAGCAGCAGGGCGCCGCCGTCGATCTCCTGGAACACACGGACAGTTTGGACCAAAGCCCGGTCATCCTGTAGGTCTGAAGTCATCTCAAAAGGTTTTTCTGAGTCAGTCTGTTCATGTTTGAAGTCATTTGGGGGAAATTTTTAGTAAGTGTTCATGTATTTTTTACACATTTTGGACCATGTTTGGCAGGTTTGAAGTCATTTTGTACAAATTTTTTTGTTACTTTGCACAAATTCTGAGCCGTTTGGAAAAGTTCTGATCCATTTTGGACAAGTTTCAATTCATTTTGTGCAGGTTTTTGTTCATTAGAGACTTGTTGAGGTATTTTGACACCTTTCCAGCCCTTTTGTACAAATTTTAGCCATTTCATACAAGTTTCAAGTCATTTTGTGCAGAATTTTGTCACTTTGGACCAATATCGAGTCGTTTCAGCCACATTCTGAGTCAGTCTGGTCGTGTTTGGATTCAGTTTGGAAAAGTTTTAAGTCATTTTGTACAAGTTTGGACACAGTTTCCCACCAACAAGTTCTGGGGTTCAAAAGGATAAAAGTTCAGTGACAGTATTTATTCCTGATGATGGACAAAAGCTGTCACACCACAGATTTTAGAGTTAAACCGTCCCCTCCTTTTTAAAACTGGTACCTGCTGAACAACCCGGTGCATTGAGTCCTCCAGAACCAGCCTGATATCAGCCTGTCATAAACTCACGTGCTTCCTGAAGGCCTCGGCGTGAGGACCCAGAGCCTGAGGGTCGGCGTCTCTAATGAACCAAACCACGTCGTCCACATTCCAGCTGGACGGGTCTCTACCGGGACGCCTCGACTCTCCGGAGTCGGGCATCGGACTGTAGCCTGAGAGGGACAAACAGCATCCCATAATACACAGAAACACCGACGGTCCTTAAACGTCACATAATCAGAGTTTTATCCCGACTCGTTCTGAAGGTGACGAAAAAAAAAAAAATTTTCTCTGATTTTACTCGATATCGTCTGTAATTTGACAAAACAGGAAAAATCTTCTACATTCTGAATCCTTAAAATACACAATTTATCTTTTAATTAACAGCAAATATCTGTAAAATTATATTTTATTGATTTAAATATAGTAAAAAAAATATATATTTTAAAGTCCGATTTTGCAGTTAAACGTTATAAATGTAGAAACTATCATTTATAAAAACAAATAACAGTTTTCTGTGATTCTTCTCACCGTTCCTGTTTCCGTCCTGGAAGCAGCCGTTGCCGCGGTAACCGTACCTGGTGTGGTGCTGTGACGTCACCACGCTGAAGGCGGAGTCAGCGGGGTTGATGGCCGCAGGCTCGAACAGGAAGTGGTCCCCCATCGGAGTCTCTGCTGGAGGAGGAGGGACAGGAAGTGACACCATTAAAGCCCCGCCCACCTGGACGAAGTCTGTCTGTCTGTCAGGAGGTAGAACTAAAGTAATGTTTAATGATTAAAATACATTTTTAGCCTTAATTTGACATTAGATCATGTGTTCCTGTTTTGGGTTTTCAAAATTGTTCAGAATGACAGAAAAGTCCAAAATTACTTAGAATTTATTTGTTCAAAAGACGAACAAAAATGCCCCAAAGTACTTAAAACTTTTTTTTTTTTAAAGAAAAAAAAGTCCAAAACAACCTGAAATACGTCTAAAATGACTCAATAAACATCCAGAATGAGACGAAAGTTGTTTGAAATTTTGAAAAATTTGTCCCAAATCACTTGAAACCCAAACTAAAGTTGTTCAGAAACGCCTCCATCATGTCCAGAAACACCAGATAAGTGTAAATAATGTCCTCTGGCCTCCACTCTGAGCTCCTGATTTGTTTCTGGGCGTTCAGCAGCTCCTCCAGGTGTCGCGTTTACCTGTGAGGACCTCCGGTGAGGCCGAATGGGGGACGATGGCGGCGTCCTGAGGGACGGAGCCCAGCTCAGGCTCAGGTGTGCTGCTGGGAGGAGACGAGGCCGCGGCAGACGTCAGCATCCGAGACTTCACCTGCACAGGTAAGCACAGGGTGACTCAGAGACAGCTGCACCGAGTTCTGAGGCTCCAGGACTAAAAACAGACTCAGAGCGTCTGACTTTATTATCAGACTGAAGCTGCTGCTTAACGGCACGACACTGTTTGACCTCAACACGTTCTGTTTAAAGACACGTTTCCTCTAAAAACTCTCCAGCATGACGCCATCGATCAGCCAGAAACTGTGAAAACAGACAGAAAGCTCAGAGCTCAGCCGTCCTACGGTCCTTGAACACAACTTCTTTTAGGAAAAATCACCAAATCTCAGCTTCAAACTTTCATCAAACTCACTTTTTCCTACAATGTTGATTCACAAATTCTCCAAAAACAAACAATAAAAGTTCTGAGATCATCAGCAGAACCCGAACGGCGTCAATGAAGTCAGAGTTTTAAGTATTTCTAATAATTATTCTGTTTGTCTGATAATTAAAACTTATGTTTTTGAAGCACGATTTCATAAGTTTGACTTTTTGTCTCAGGATTTTAACCATTTCTCTACATTTATGATCAGAATCCCAAATTCTGGCTTTTCTTCTGGAATTCTGACTCAGAATTTGGACTTTCTCACCTGCTTTGGGACTTCCAGTCTTCTCATTTTGGTTTCACAATTATAACGTTTAATCTCAGAATTTCACAACTTGTCTGTATTTTGACTCTATTTTAAAAGAACTAGACATCCTTCATTCCAGCTGATTCTAAACAATGAGCCTGCGGTGAGTAGAAATGATCCAGGAGCAGGAATCACTGCTTGTAGTTCAGATTTCTAATATTTTCAGTTTCCGTGGTTTCACTTTACGTCCATTATTTTTCACCAAAAGCTGTTCTGTAGCTGCTTTAATCTGCTGAATTATTTTATCTTCTCAGAAACATGTGCAGAGTTTAACCTGACTCCAGAGCCGCTCTGACCCACCCACCAGTGACCCGGTCCGGTTCAGGGGTCAACCTGACGTCAGCGGTGAAACTGAAAGCGAAACCCACCTTGAATCCGGGCTTCCTTCCTCTCTTCTTGGGCACCTTCACCTCCACGTAGTGACTCTGGAAGTCCAGCTTCCTGCTGGCGGGGGGCCGGCCTCTCTTCCTGCCCGGGACCTTGGCCGGACCCGAGGGCCGGACCACGAACTGGGGGCCCAGAACCGACGTCTGCATCTCTGACCGGACGGAACCAGAGTTCATCAGAGCCGAGAGACGAGCAGTGAGCTGGAGGGAGGACGTGGTGGCTTTAAAGAAAAAACACTGCAGCGGAAACCAACACACACACATAGTAACACACACACACATACACACACTCAGACACTGAAATGATAGGAAATAGTAGAAACAAAGCCACATGAAGCTGCAGCTCCCCTCCCCCTCTACAGCTGCAATAAATATCATTACTGAGACACACACACACACACACACACACACACACACACACACACGGAGGAAATGAAAGCACACACACACACTCTAACAATCAATGGCAGCAGCAGCGTCTCGGCGGCTCACCGACGCTGTAAAAAATGATTTTTTAAACTGTTATTAAACGTGTTTTCCCTGTTTTGTTCAATTACAGAAAAAAAAAGACTATTATTATTATTATTGTTATTGTTATTTACATGTTGACTGTAACACAAACAGGACAGAGCTGTCAATAACGGTCACATAATCAATCTGTAATTTTTATTTTACAATTAATATTTGTTTGTATTAAATTGACTGTAGAGTTACATGTTTTTTAAAAAAATGTATTTGTTGCTATTTAAAAGACACTGTTTGTGTATTAAGGAGTAAAATAAGATACATTTTAAAGCATTTATTTAGGAAAATAACAGAAAAAAACAGTTTAATTTCCATGTTGACTGTAAAAAACAAAAAAAGAAGCTCAAATTGTCAAAAACGCTAATATCAGAAATGTTTTACTTTTTTAATCTGCTAAAAAAAAGAAAAATTAGATCAATTAAGGGCCAAACATTAGTTATCATTTAAAGATGATGTCTTGATTAAAAAATTGATACGTAAACCCTAAAAAACAGGTCGAAACTGTAAAATACGATCACATCAAGAATCTGTATCAGTAAATGTAAAATTACACTTTAAAAATATTTTTTTTTTTTTACTGTTTTGAAATCTGCACAAAAAAATCTTTAAATTATTGCTGTTTATTTTCACAGTTTCTACAGTTTTGGTGTGTTTCAGTAGATTTAATGCAGCTTTACTGACAGATGTTCAGGTTTAT